TCTTATTATTAAACGATAAACTGATTGTATCACATGATTATAATATAAAGTTGCAAAAATAAGTTTGTTTATTTCTGGCAGTGATTACATAGGACCTACCTGATAAATATAATAATAAAGCCTGGGGTATATTGTAAATTCTTTTTTAGGAAATTCGTATTACAAAGATTCTTCAATGAATGAATTAAAAAACTTTTTTAAATTGTAAAAAGAAAAAACAAAAAAAGAGTACAACAAACATAAAAATTTTGATTAAGTAAGATTAAAATTTGGCACCATTTTTTCTATCCATTCGTGTACATCAAATATTTAATTTTCCAATGTTTTTTGAAAATTGTGCTGTGTAAAGGACGAATATTTTACATTCTGTATGGACATTGCTGAATCAATCTTAAATCATCTAATATTGACATTTTCAAATAGACAAAAATTTTAAAACTTCAGCTGGTAAAAACAGCTGGATCATGACCTCGGCTTAATTAAATTTCAAATCATGGCCACGAATCATTACTCAATTTTTTTTAAAAAATTATAATTTATAAAATGCAGGGACGCTGCGATGATACGTTACACGTTGGTCTTTTTCTGCGAATGCATTCTAAATTTGTATAGTGCGAGACACCTAGTCCCACAACTTTTTATTGGCCTTGTAGATCCTTCTCTAACTCCAAAAATGAAAATGTAACACCAAAAAAATAAGCCGTAATTTTGAAGCTAAGACCTTTCTCTACAAAGTTGCGATTTCATTTTGTTGATATGTCACAGCATTACGCAGTTAGAAGGGCTCAAAGTTGCACAAGTTTACAATGTTCGCGATGAAATGCTGCTAATATCTTTACTAAATTTAGACTAGGCTTGATAATCATTTCTAAATTTAGCAATAACAAAGATGAATTATTCTTTTGAATAGTTGGATGCGAAACATCCTAGCATCCTTTTGCACAATGATGTAATTTTTCATAAAACAGACTATTTTGTGGCCAAATGGTGCATTGATCAAGTAGTCTAATAAATTACTACAAAAACATATAATAGACCAAAAAATTGCAATGGTTGAGCAAGTAGTGCCAAAATGGTATCTGTGATATGATTTATTAGATAGATAATTAGATAGTATAATATTAATATTAATATATAAATATTTAAATGGAAAAATTTTTTTTTTAAAATTGTATCACCATTAAAGGTCACGTGACATAAAAATTTTATTGCTTTTTTGAACATAACTTACAATTCTGATATTTGATGATTTTTCTCAAAATTGGCCACGAGGCGCAGTAAGTTGCGGGACTAGGTGACTTGCACTATATATTATTTTGTTCAAGAAAATTAAAAGCAGTTTCAAAAGCTTTTTCACATTTTTTGGAAGAAGAAGATAGTTGTT